TGTCTTAATTTTAAGTTTTTTATATAGTTTCAGATTTAAATTTATGGGCCATTCGGTGACGCCAAAAGAAAGAAAGAGAGAGAGCATACGTAAGCATACTATCAGTATATATATACTACTCTTGCTGCCAAGAAAGTATGTAGTGGTGGGGAGGATGACTAGGAACGAAGGGGATAAGAAAAAGTGTGACAATTTTCTCCATTTTTGTTGACTGAGGGCCATACATAAGAAGCTTGGCTTAGAAAAAAAAAAAAAAAAAAAAAAAAAAAAAAAAAAAAAAAAAAAAAAACAACAACAACGTGGAAGGTGTGTTGTACTTACGGCGTTTTAGGATTAAAAAAAAAAAAAAAAAAAAAAAAAAAAAAAAAAAAAAAAAAAAACAACAACAACGTGCGGGATTCGGAGTCTCACGGTAAGACAGAAGTTCTCACATGTAGACTGTAAAATACAAAGTTCGTAAATGCATGTGAGCTCAATATGTCTTTTCTACAGCGAGTTACGGTGGTATATGTCTTAATACATTTGTCAGGTATGAAAGGCTTGGGAATTCATCAGCCAGAAAGCAATGTGATTGTCGTGCCTGGGCTTAGATAGATGTGAGAGTCGTGTGTACGTATGTCAACCAAAAAAGGGCTCCCATTTATTAAAATAACATCGGCTTACACAAATTTTTATGCATTCGATTTGTAATCAAATTCTCTTCAATTTGGCTGTTTTTTATCATTTTTTTTTTTAGCCAGCGAAAATGGAAGTGTAAACTTTTTTATTACTTTTTCTGGCTGGTACGTCCGTGCCCTGGCTGGCTTTTTCTGTGTTGCCACTGCTCCTCTGTGTTTTCCCTTTTCTAAAACTCGCCATTTTTCCTTACGGTATACATCCCATGATCAACCGCGATAAAGAACTTCGTTCTAAGAACACAGTTTACAAATTAATTTTAACTTTTGACCTCCTGCACACCAGCCGAGCCCCTTACCCACTCTGCTTTGAGCAGTCCCGATATAGGAAATTTGATTACTTATTTATATGATGTGATCCGTTACTTTTTTTTATCTCTTATATGAATTTTAATTTACTGTTTACTCATTAATTCGTTTTGATTATTAATAACATTTGTAAATCAAGAATTTATTTAATAAGCTAATTTTTTTAGTTTAATTTATTTTTTTTAAACTCCGAAATTAGTATATTTTACCAGAGCAGCTCCGTTATAGATTAATAAATATCAATTTACCCATCGTAAGTTTGTTACTTTTGAAAATCAATAAACAATTGTTAATACTATTCTTCTTTTTTTTTAAACTTTCAAAAATTGAAAAGAAATTTTCTGACTTGTAGAAAAACGGTGATTAATTTTAATGGCGATTTATACTTTTACAATTACTTATTCGTGATTAAAGTTATTTTTTTACTTAAGGACGTTCATAACATAGTTAGTGAAGGAAAAGTTCTAATAGGTGAAAGACGCATAAATATGTGCGTTAACGCTGGCGATGATTTTTCTCATACGGATGTTCTTACATACACGCCCTTAGGCATACTTTAACCCCTTTTTTTTGCATTATTAAAAAAAAAACTTGTAGATCTATTTAAAAACTTCACAGGTTTTTCTTAAAACAATCTTTGATACAACTAGAAATCGGTACATATTATTAGGATTAGAGATTTGTACATATTATATATAAGTAACTTCACGTGATTTTATGCATGCTCAACCCCTTTTTTCTTGTTTTATCGAAAAATACCACTAATGCATCTATGTAATAATTTTATAGCAGGTTTATCTAAAAGTAATCGTTCATACCAAAAAAATTAAATATTTCTATACAATATATGTAAGCAAGTTGACATGATTCTTCTATACGGTTACATGTTAAAAAGCAATTTAAAAAAAATTAAATATATGAATAAAAGTTCAGTTAAACGATCTGCAATTTTTGTGGATATTTTTTATACTATTTTGAATATTTATTTGACGTTCAACTAATATCTGTCAGAAAAACCTACCTGTGACGAACGCTATGAAGGGACTTTTACTGGCATGTAATGCTACCTTATTGTAGAAAAGAAAGTGGTACTTTTGGATGATTTTTCTTAATTTTTTAGAAACAAATATATTACGAGTGTTAACCGTGGACTAGAAAAACGTGTAAAGTAGGAATTCAGCGTATACGACTACTGTGATCGTGACAATAGAGATGTAGGCTATTGTATCATGCCGTAATATATTGTTTAGAATCACTTATTTATTTATCATTAAAATACTAATGAAAACTAAACTTAATTAACGTAGGTATACTTATTCCAATGATAATTGCACCACTTTTGTACATAATATCGTTTCATAAAAGGTATATTTATAATGATAATCATATTATCAGTTACATAAATTTATAGAAGTACAACTTCATATTTGGGTACCCAAGCACCCACGGTCCACTGGTTTTNTCTTTGTGATTGGGGTGATTTTTTCACTTGAGGACGTTTATCACACAGTTAGTGGGATGTACTTAACCCTCAATTTTTCGTGTTATTAAAAAAAAAAATTATCAATCAATTTAAAAATGGAAAGGGTTTATCTAAAAGTAATCTGTTATACAAAAAAAATTGGAAGATTTATACAGATCCTATAAATGCAATTTGAAGTGATTTTTTCATTAGGTTGCATGTCCAATTGCAAACATTTTGAATGAAACATATGATAAAGGGTACAGTTAAACGAACCACAATTTTTTTTGGTTATTGATTATGGTATTTCCAGTATACTTTTAATGCTTGAACAATACCTGTCTAAAAAACCTATGTGTCATGCGCGTCCTGATCGGACATTCACTGGTTAGTACTATTGTTGTATTATAGAAAGCAGTACTACAGGGTGATTTGTCTTAATTTTTGAGATACAATTATATTTTGGGTATTAAATATGTACTAGTAGTAAGTGTGTGAGCATATGTGGCAGATGTGAGGATGCCGTTAGAGATGTAATCAGCGTAGGTGGAAAGAAGTTGTTCTGAAATCATCGAAAGATTCGATGAATGCGCACAGTCCCATTCTTAGCCAGCCTGTATACTGTTCATATTTTATTGTGCCGTAATATATTGCTTATGATTTTTCGTTGATAAAAAGTATTGAAATATTTATTGAAATTACACCCTAATAATGTGGGTATACTCATTCCAACAATAATTGCATCACCGCTGTACACAATATCGTTCCATAAAAGGTATATTTATAATTATAATCATATTATCAGTTACATAAATTTATAGAAGTACAACTTCATATTTGGGTACCCAAGCACCCACGGTCCACTGATTATTTTTTCTTGTTCTTTTTTTTTTCTCATACGAAAAGCTTTGTATTTTATGATAAATCAAATGTTAAGATAACACGATATAAATGTATTTAAAAAAGTTTTAATCTAACGAAAAAACTCTGCTAAAGTGTCTATGTGACTTTCTTTCTTTGTGTAAGAGTGAGTGAAACTGTGGGTGTGATATCAGTCATATTCTGGAATTTCTAGAGCTGACTTTGATTAACATTAACTTTTCCTTATTCTTGTATATTCAATACCAGTCAAAATAAGTTAAGTTTTATCGATCTTCCTTCTCTTATGTCGATTATATCTATTAAAAACTTATTTTTTTAGAAAAAATGTATTTCCTTTTTTCTCATGGTTTAACGATATCTTGTTAAAAAGAATTGATAAGACTCCTTTATAAAACTTAGTTTGATAAAAAAAAGTACTAAAGATTATACAAAAATATATGTGGGCATGTGTGGGTGTATAAGTTAATACCCTTACAGCTGATCATATTTAAAGGTTCCCTTGTCTGATTTAAATCATCATTGCGTGTTTTTTTTTGTATTGGGATTAATTTTTATTCTGAGAGTAAAAAGTAATAAAATTTTTTATTTTTAATCGTAAGACTTTTTACTTTTGCAATCATAAATTTTAACTTTTCAAATAGTGGTTTTTATTGTATTATCATAAACAGTTACTGTACTTACGATAAAAGTTATTATTTTAAACAGTCACCACTATTGTTCAAATAGTAAATGTCTGTAGATGACGAAACAGTATCGGATTACCATTTTAGCACTATACATTTTGTCTTCTTCTCTCTCAGAAGACACTCAAAAGTAATCACTTAGTACTCTGAAGTAAATGATAATACCATGACTTTTTTGCATCCTCAAATTTAAATGCTATTAGTTTTATTGTTGTTGTGAACACACAGTGTTTATTCCTGTAAAATAAATGGCCATGACGATAATGCACATAAGCTGGATGGTTTTTTAAATGCTGAATGAGATGACCTTATTGCATGGATTACAACTGTGTGCATTACAAATTTTAAGTATTGCAGTATTCTGAAATGATCTATACGTTTAAATTAAATTTTACATAACTATTATAGGAGTCAAAAGTTATCCATACAAGTTGGTCATATTACGAGATTTTGTCCGCAAACATTAACTGATAGACATTAGAAGTACCAAAGCAGTGACCTTGTCTGCTCTACGCATGATGTTATGTACTTGTACGACAGATGAAAGTGCATAGTTATCGGTCAATCAAAGCAATATTTCTGTTTCAACTTCGAATCACGAAATTAAAAGTATGATTTAATATTCTATTTGAAGCATACTCACTAATTAGAACAGTTTAATAATATCAAGAACAACTAAATTCTTTTTTTTGGAATATGATCTTTAATAGTTTAATAATTCCTTAACAGCTTATATCTTAGTACACTACCATACTAAAAGAAATTGTTTTCAACTAAAACACTCGATCGAAAAAAAAAAAATGATAAAGTACAAGCCTTATTGTTACAACTGTGTTTTATTTCTACATTGCTTATTAAATTTTAGTACTAGGTTGTTTTCGATACAAATAATTTTTTAGGTGTGTGCGTATGTATTAATAATAATAATATTTCAAGCAATACATGCAACATCATGTTGAAAAACAAATAACGAGAATTCTGAAATTTAAATATAACAATTTTTCTTAAGTATGAAATATTTGTGAAAGTATGATTTTTGTTGTGAATACTTCAAGTCTTGTAAAATATCATATTCCATACATGCTTGAAAAGATTTCGATTACGAACCAAGAGGTTTATGGCATGAGTCAAAGGTGAGAAAAAATTTCTGCAAAACTTTTTGTGATAATATAACACATATTTATTAAAGAAACATTTTTATTTTAACAACTGTTTATAATATAGTGCTGAACAATAGATTGATCTTTTTCTCAAAAAAATTCATTACCATCGGAATAGAAAAAAAACTTTCAAAAAGGCGAGTATTTAAAACACTATTTGAGTATGTCATTTTACATAACTTACAACTAACTATAGTATCAAAAATGTATGACACTGAACTGATAAAAAAAAACTTCTTTATCACGTACTCTGAACAGATAAAAATAAAAAATTTTCAGTAAACAAGAAATCTCCTTTGTACCCGGATACCAGACAATGGCAATCTACTTTTTGTACATCTAAAATTCGCAAAATATATTTTTTAATTGTAGTTCTGTAATTGATTATACATTGACGTATATGAAATGATAAAAGACGTTAAGATTCTAAGCTTCAATAGTAAAAGATTCACCCTCCCACATTTAGTTGGAACATTTTTCTTTAGTAAACTTTACAAATGTTTCTCTTACAGTTGAAAAAAATGTAAGTAATAAGTGCTGTTAAAAATAATTATTCTGAAAATAATTATTATCGTTCAAAAAATTAGAGCTACGAAAAAGTATATCTATTTATAAAGATTCACATCTCTTGTTTGTGTAACACATGGATATACTTCAGAGAGCCCAACACAGAGTTGAAAAAAAACGGGTTACAATAAAATAATAGTCTAAGACGCTTTGGGAATATGTTCAAAAATGTTTATAGAGTATTGAAAAACTTTGGCAATATAAAAATAGTTGGTTTTTCGTATCGTTTTTCTTGGTAGAAAACAGCCATTTCCGCATTTTTTCGAACTTTAATAATTAATATCTCATAAAGTATTAACTTTATAGAAAAGTTGCAAAAATCTTTTTCTGTTTATAATCAAAAGATAGTAAAAAAAATTTTTCTGAGTCCAAATAAGCAATTTGCAATTTTTGTTAAAATAAAAATTGTCTAAACAATTTTTGACAAACTTTTGAACCTGGCAGCATACGAAGTTGTTGATAGGAGATGATTTTGTACAAGATAACGCAATAAAACCAAATCCAAATACTTTCTCCAACAAACTCCAGATTACGACCTAGACTGTTAGGGAGCCCCGTTCTAAAAATTTGAAAATACAACAGAAAAAATATCTTCATACAGGAAAGACATAGACAATTAAAAACCGTCTCACGCAACAGCTACTTGTCGATGAAACGTTGTTACAAAGATTGTCACAGTTAACAAAATTAGTTTTTTAATAATAGCTCAAGAGCTATTTATTCTTTTAGATCTTAAATGTAAGAAATATAGCTTGTGACAAGACCTACAAAACACCGCAAAAATTTTTCAAATCAGACTGTTGGTTTCCCTGCAAAATTAAAAATAAATTTTAAAATAGGAAAGTTTTGAAATTGTTAATAACTTACTATCCTTTCATCCAAATTTTAAATGTTATCACGTATCCCAATGTTCATGTAGACATTTTCTTGTAGGCAGACTAATTTTGCGAGAGTTCAAAATATGTCGAATTTTATCATTTTCGCGAGCTTTCCAAATTAGAAAAAATGGCCATTCTACGTTGTATAGTTATAAATGTAATGAATTTTTCTTCAGTTGATAGAATTTGAAGGGCTGGAACTAAAACCAACAAGCCAAGTTCGGCCACTGACCTTGTCACAGGTTAATTATCGATCTCGAACGAAAAACATTGCTGTTTTCGAATTCAGTACAAAGTAATAATTGATTACGTTAATATCATGATTTTCATATTTATTAGATATACAAATAATTGATCACATGAGCATGTTTGGTAAAAAATTTTGGTTTTTTTAAGTAACGACGATAAATTGAAAAAAAGTTTTCTCTGCTTTCAAGTGATTTAGAGCAACTTTTTCTATATAATTCGTAGAAAAGTCTCAGCTTTACGATGAACTTAGTCACGAATCTGTACGATAAAAAATGAGAAAATTTTTTTACTATTTGTAACATTCAAACTTACCTGTGTTTTCAAATCTTATTTTTAAAAAATTCAATTTGCATAAATGCATAAGGTACAAATCACATGCATACCTAATAATATAACTCTTTAAGAAGATAATATCGTTTAAATTATCATTTTTAGATGTCTAAAAAATGGCAACCTGTAAACAGACTCCTGTTTAATAAGTAATTCACTTTTGCAAAAACTGTCAAGGCAATTAAATGAAAACTTATTGTGTTGATTAGCACTATGAAGGCACATAGTTAACGCTTGGTTTGGAAGGATTTAGATAAAAGAGTTACTAGTTATTAAAAATTGAAAAAATTTCTGTTTTGAAGATTTTTTTAACTTCACGGACAAACAAATTATTTAATTATAAGAATTTTTGCGGCAGTTTTTAGGTTTTTCTATAAGCCATATTTTACATTTAACGTTTTTCAAAAAATTTATAGTTTTTCAGCTTCTGTTTAATAACTGATTTTTTCAACCGTAGTAGTTTTTCTAACCACATCTTATAAACAACTAGTTTTTGCTACAATGGTACTACTCTTTCACTATAAGGGAAAGAAATATTAAAATGAAAATATTACAAAAGGTCTTTGATATTTTTAAAGGATTAAAAATAGATTAAATCATCTAGAAATGCCATTTGAGATGCAATGCAGACAAAAGCTCAATATACCAAGTAAGGGAAAGGTTGTGGACTTTCGAAACAAAGAAGTTCATAAAAAGTTAGCATTATTAAAGAACTTGTGCTTAGAGTCAAGAGATATGACTGTAGTTAATTTTATTGAAAAATAGATTAATGAAGGCAAGTCATAATAAATAAGTAAAAAAGTCACAACTCCGTGTTACTTACCCAGTTTTTAATCGATTTCTTCCATTCATGTATTTCTTAACTTGTTTTTCGCGTAACCTGATGATTTCTTATTGTTTACAGTTGTAATGTTACAATGGATGTCAAAAGTACAAAAATAAATGAATTTAACCTGTACATGATTTACGAAAAAGGTTTAAAGTAAAAAATATATTAATTTAGTTTTAGAAATATGTTATGCAAACTTTAAGCTAATAAAAAATATATTTCTATAGAGATCTAGACTTTAGCGTTCCAACGTGTCTTCTTTTTAATCCAAAACAACAATTCCCTGTTATTTGAAATTATTAAAAAATCAAGCTAAAGTTCTAGTACTCTAAATTTTAAGATTATTTTGTAGGAATTTTTTAAAACTTATATCATATGAGGTAATAGTTAAAGTATGTTTTAATTAATTTTGTAAAGAGAAAATATTAACAATATCAATATTTATATCTATGCCGTATCACATGGTGACTCTGTTGCATACGTTACGCATAAACCTAACTTTTCCCTACGTGCTGCACAATAATTAAATTTGATATTGTAATAATTATCTAATATAAATCAGCTCACAAACTTTATTTCTACTAATGTACATACTTTTTGTGTGTGTGTGTGTGTGTGTGTGTGTAAGTGAGCTTGCGTGTATATGAGGGACAAAGCGGAATACTCCAAATTAAGAATGATCGCTTAGGAGCCAAACTGGACTGCAGCTCCTGCTTTGTAAGAGATCGTTTTTTTGACTTCTCGAAGACGACTTACCTACTCACCCAGACTTGCGAGTGTAAAATAACGTGTAGAATCATGTGTACATATGTAGCATCAAGAAGAAAAGAGAGAGAGAGAGAGGAAGAGAGGCCTCAATATCAGTAGATATGTTTGTCTTGCACAGAATAGTTCGATTCCCTTACTTTACAGTTGCCTTACCTCCTGCAGGGTCCGTCACGTGGCTCGACTCGGGCTCACTCGGCTTTTAGGCTGCACATAGCTAAAACAACGACGAAGAGAACCATTATGTCGAAGAACAAACCAAGTCGATGGGGCCGCACACTACAGCGTCGTATGCAGTCTGAGACGAGCTGACATCCCAGCTGCACATACGCAACGCACGTCTCATACGCACTTTACCGTGTCCTTTCTCTCTCTTTCTCTTCTATCTTCTCTCTTTCTCTCTCTCTCTCTCTCTCCTACCTTGCCAACTGTTTGAAGATGTATGGCAATCGCAGTATCAAGACAAATAAAGTACTTCAAGTGCAGGAAAGGTACACCTTCCAGAATAGGAGCACGGCTTAAATGCACTGTGTAATATCTGCTTTTACTGCAGTTGCCCCATGCATTAACAAAGTGAACAAGTATCAGCTGATTTTTCAATTCAACCTGAACATCAAATCTCTAACCAAAATTGATTAAACATACATTTTTTCTGCTCTTATGCTATTTAATATGAGCACTCTTTTGTTTATTCAGTTATCAGACTCTTTTATTTCAAGTGACTCGAGTAAGTCTATTTTTGTTAGCCAATTGTTTTTGACAAACTACAAGCAAGATAAGTGATTGTTTGCTCAGGTATCAGTAAACATTTGAGACTCTGTGTAGAGCAAATATTGTTGAAGTGTAGAACCTGAATGGTAGAGCAAGTAGTGCAGAAGCAAAGATAGTCAACTTAATGAGTCAGCTTAACACACTTTTTTTCATTCATAAAATCTGTCAGCTATCATCAAGCATACTCTACTACGTATTTGCTACTGTTTCTGTTGTCACTGACACCAATAGCTAAAAATCTTGAAGACTATGTGCTCCCACAGTAGTGTCGAGCTGTCAAAAAGAGCCTAAATCAGAGTGAAAGACTTGAACCAATAATTTGTTTGCTAATCTCATACTCTTAAGGTAATAGAAGCTAGTGGGAGACACGTGCAAAAGTTACATCCGTGGTGAAGGACAAATAGACCAATGCCAGGTTTTAGAAGCTACTGTTGCACAACAAGGACTGAAAGGAGTAGAGCGTATAGTACAAGCTTAGCAAGAGACTCGTTTCTCTTTTTGTCTCTCTCTTTTTAAAGTTCGTGAGTGCATAATGAAATCTTAATTATATTAAAACTATTGTAAAGCCCGTGTTGTGCTCATGA